AAGGGGGCTAGCCAGTGTTAATTTCGTTAACGAAAACTATGACAAAAAATGAACCTTTTTTCCATGACGAGACGTTGACGAGCTAAAAATAGATCTTTGATAATAAAAACTATGACGAAATGTATGTTTTGTTTTCATTGCCGAGACGAGACAGGACTGAAATGTTAATGGCGGGCTGTCGGACCGTATGCAGTATGAGATCGTAGCACCAACGGGTTGGTAAACGCTAGTAACATTAAATAGTCGGTGCCAGGATGTTTCGCTAGCCTGCAAAACACTCACACCGGAGCAGCTAGCCGTTAGCACAGGTTTTGAGCTATAATTCGGCAGTAAATAAGCAGCCGTGTGTGTCTGACTGTAGATGGTGGAGCTGTTGAATGGATTTGTGGAGTTGGTTGGTTGCAGCGGTGGCTGTGAGAGCATCTGGCCACTTGCATACATGTGAGCATCAATGGGCCCCCACCACCAAATTCCCCTATAGGAGAACCCTGGAGCTCTTCTACCAAAGGCCCAGAAAAATAACATGCTCACAGGCAGGATGTAGACTGTATTGCTGAGCTTGAGAACATTTTTGTAACTCGTAAATAAGTAATTTTCTGTGATGTGGCATTTCATTTTTTGATATTCATTTCTACAGATAAATGTCAAAAGCTGTAAATTAAGTAAATTAAGACACAAAAGGCAAACATGAATAATCCTATCTATAATGATTCTAAGGTCGCTTTATTCATTTTAAGCTATTCTGATTCACTTGAATAAGGGCCGGCGTTGCTGATCGTGGACATACAACAACAGCGTAGACATACAACAGCACCGCTGCTAAAAAAAAATCTTGGGGAAACACTTTATATATATATATATATATATAATAGACAGAGAGAGAGAGAGACTGTAATGTAGATAAGCAAAGCCTCTGGATGTGTTAAATAGTCTTTCCATGGTGTGTTTTTAACCCAGGGCTCTCCAAAGCAGCTCCTCTGAGCCTGAAGAGGCTTCTCAGCTTCACACAGAACATCTTTGGCTCTGCACTCAATGTGGGTGGAGAAGACAATATTGTAAAATAGGAAAATAAAATAAAAGAATACTCTGGAATTAATAATCCTTTCTAGTCTGCATAATCACTCGTTTTGAACTTAAACCGAACAGGGCAACAAAACAAATCATTTTTGGGGAAAGAATACATGTATTTTAATGCCCTCAAGCTCAACTAATTAAAGACGACACGTCATTTGCATAAATAAGCATTATAATTTGCATGCAGGCACGGGGGAATAGTGCGTAAGAAAAGAAAGCAATATTTTGCAGCCCTGCTAATTTCATTTTATTTGGGATTTGAGCTTAATAAAGATTCATTTTGGAGGGTGGCAGGGGGGGAGGGGGGGAAGGAAAACAATCAAAGGGGGGAAAATGTGAACTATCTCCAAAGATGCAGCAGCCCTGCATTCAAAGAGCCCGTCCCCATCACCATATGACTCCTAATCTGGAGTGGCAAGGCCTGGCCTAGTTCCAACACCCAACTCCTTGAAAGGTAACCAAAAAAAAACAAAAAAACAATTTTTTTTAGAGCCAAATTTATTAGTATGCAGTCCTGCCATCGGGCGGAAAAATTAATGGCAGTGACTGATAATGACTGTAATCGTGGCACAAATGGGGTGTTGAAATAGCAAACAACGGGCACAAGGCATGTAATGGGGATTTTATTAATTACCCGAGGTCTCGAGCATGAGCGGGCTCTAGGATTTACTGTGGTAATGCCAGCCAGTTGAGGAGGGGTCGGCCAGTCTATGCTGACAAGGAAAGGGGGGTCACTGTGGGAACGCCACTGTGGGGTGGAATTGAGTAATGGGCCACGCTTGCCGGACTTGCTGTGAAAGTTTAGGTGAGGTACTGCGGGTGAGGTTGCTTTTACCGAACCGCCCCCATCCCCCCAAAAAGGACATTTCAGTGATTCCAGAAGTCTTTCAGGTCTTTAAACCTTTTGGCAAACTTTAGAGGACTTTGGGCAACGACTCAAATAGGCCAAACTCTATTTGGAAATCTGGTGACATTATATTCCATTTTAATTTTATCCAAAGCAACTATCAGTGAATTCAGACACATGCCATTCAGCGGCAGGTGGACCCCGGACATGGAGGATCGATCGAACCCGGAACCTTCCGGTTGGGAGTCGAACACCCCCCTAGTCTGTCTAGCAACGCGCGGTGTCGGCTGCGGTAAAGCGAGCCTTTCCTTTCACATGTTTGTTTTCCATTCTCGAGGAACATAAGGCAACATTATCAGGTGGGGTCGCCCGTTCACGCAGCCCATCTCATCAACAGGAAGGGATTGATTAAAGGTCTCCTTTATTACTCTGCGTCGCGTTAATGGATGCTAGACTTTTGAAAATGGAAGGAACAATTTGAGTTTTACTGCTTCGTGGCCACGACAGATTTATATAAATCAGACCACGGATGTACATTTTCTTTTTTTCAGTAAAAGACTCAACCACTCTGTGCATGCGTAATCAACATGTTTACATTCAAAGCACATGCTATATACACACAGTCGTCTTCGATTGGCAGGGTTCTCTGCTGATGAACAAGTGAGCTTGAGGGCATTAGTGGAATCGTTGGATTCTTTACTTTTCAGTATTTAGGCTTGTCATGTAATGTCTCTCCATGGCTAGATGTTCTTAATACAGAGTTTGACTTAATACAGTGTTTGCTCTGTTTGATTAATCATTTGTATGAATTTGACATCATAACTGGTAAACCAAGTTTACTTAACACAATTTTGCTAGCCAACTTTCTAAACTGTCATGTCACTGTTAGACATTCACCCACTCATTCTTGGCTGTTGTTTCACTGTCCGTCTCCCAAAAGTAAGCAGCTGGATTTTATTTCAGGGTGTTAAAAGTCACAATGGTGGAGGCTTTAGAGAACCTCAACAGATAAAATGACAGGGATCATGGCATCTGGAGTGACATTGAAGTTTGTTGTGTCTTCAATTCAATATCGGCGGCAATTAAACTAGATAATCATCCACTTTGATTGCTGTAGTTAACAAAGTCATGGCAGTCAGCATAACATTTCATTTTTTTAATAGCCTCATCGTTGATTATGTGATTTTATGATTGTTTCTGGTGAATCTACGGACCTCTATAGCAACCGTTGAAAAGAAGGAGAGATATTTTCTTTATAGCCCAAGTAGTCTTTAAGCATAATCGTATGTGTACGTGTTCAACAAAGAGAGAGAATAGTTTAAAACTAGGTTATGATGTATGGGCTAATTAGAACACATTTTAATTATTAGTAACCCAGAAACAACAAAGCTTGGTGAATCAATCTTTTATTCTTCTGACTTAACAAAAGTGAGTAGGAGAGGCCTGTTCTGCCTATTCAGACTGGCAGTTGTCCTCAGATGCCACTCCAACATAATGTGGCTTTGCGTGACAAAGGTGTGGACGGGGTATACTTATCTGACATTTCTGCCTCGGGCAGGTAGGTAGGTAGTAACCCATAAAAGCTCACTGTTCAGGTTCAGCCCAAATTTTTTGTCATGGGTGTTTTTGTTATTCCATCAAATCATTGATAAAGTCAGGGACTTTTTCAAATGTATTTTTAGTAAATGTCCTTTATTATATTGTGAACTCCACAAGCAATGTTTGCAACATCACCCCTCTCCAATATCCAATCCTAGCATAACTATTGCACCCAAATGCACACCTTTCTCTGAAGTATTTTGAAAAGGAGAGGTTTTCTAAGCTTGATAACCCCATTAAAGCAAAGGGACAACAGAGGCTATTTCAAAGACCTACAACGGTCTTCATGCACCTCTTTCACAACTTTTATCTTACAACGTTTGATATCCACACATTTAGCTCCAATTAGCATGAAGACCAGGCTCTGGCAACTTTTACAAACTACTTCCTTTTTTATGTGAAACGTCTTTCATAGACAAAGCTTTTTATGAGCAATCGGAGGTACATGAAACATTGGCCATCCTCGGTCATTGAATTGTTAACATTTCACAGCATTCTATGATGTATCTTTTATCCATAAAATTGAAAATATGCATTTTTTTATGAGCTGCTGTTGACTTGCATGTCCCAACAAGGCTCCCAATAAACCTTCGGAAGATAGCGAGGTAATAGTAATAACCAGGTATACTTTACCAGGTAACCAGGTATACCAAGTTACGTTAAGTCAAAGTTTGCCCTGTATAGGCTATTGGTTGTGGGTGTGTTTCAAATTGGACCCCTAAACTTATATTATTCTGATTATTATTATTATTATTACAAGCTTCAGCTTCAAGAATTAAGCTGTTTCAAGAATTAAGCTGTTTCCTAACTTAAGTTATGGCCTTATTTTGTTCTTCTTCTATTCTGTCCTTACAGTACTGCCTTCGAAGTACGAAACATATAATTGTGAAATAGTCATCTCTCTCATACACTTTGTTGGTGATTTTACCTCAAGTACCTGTTCCATGGGCGTGCACGTGTTTTCTCCAGCCGTGAGGTCATGCGTAAGAAATGTATTGAAAAAGAGGCATGCTGTAACATAGCAAAACGAGTTTGTACGCAATTTTTATATATAGCCTACTTCAGACACGCAACAACCGCTCTTTTAATATGTTGCTTTGGCTTTCTTCTCTCCCCTCCCTTTCAACTGGAGCTGAAATGTGAAAAAATAACATTCTTTTACAATCAAGTACATAAGAATGTGCACAAGCCTGCACGTACACAAGCACTCTTGACGCACACACACACCTAGAAGTATCCTCTTTTGACCCTCTTTAAATAACCAGTTTATGTTTGTCTTCATTCATGGTAAAACAATAGACGCTCAATACTAAACAAGCTTAATAGTCATAAGCCATGTTCATGTTTGGCTCACATGGCATTCAAAAACAAATCACTGTTATAATAAACAAATGAATGTGCTATTTACTATTTAGCCGATGCTTTTATCCAGTTAATCCTTTTGATTAGGAATCTCTTTCAAGGATGTCTACAGGTAGACTGAGGCCATCGGGGTTTGAACCCAGAACCTTTCGACTTGGAGTCAAACACCCTGACCAACTCCACGATCCTGTCTGCCCCCATTGATGCAACTTATTAATGTGAACACTCCAAAAAGTTCCACTCCAGTTTCAAAGCCCAGCGCTTCTGGGCTTGGTGGTGGTGTTGGGGGTGGTGGTGGTGGTGGTTCGCCCTCCCCTGCTGGAGAGGAGGTGTCTCAGCCTGGCACATATTGCCTCACCTGGTCCCCTGTTTACCTCAGATGGTGGGATTAGGATGCAGCCTGTGTGGAAGACATCCACCCTAATCCACCCTCCATCCTCCAGGTACCCAGACACAGGCCTCCATGCAGGCCTCCCCTGGGGGTGGTCGAGTACCGGCAGCGATATAGTGGAGGGGGGGTTTCGTCGTGGTGTGATCCGAGGCAATATTTTGACAACTGTGCAAGGTGTTATTTTCTTTTATGCAGCTGAATAGCAGGTGGGCCGGGTTAGGAATCAGTGGGGGTGAAACTCTTTGTGGGAGTGTGTGTGTGTGTGTGTGTAGGGGGGGTATACGCAGCTAGTCACTGGTGGATTGGAATGGAAGGGGACCAATCAGCTCATATCAGCTGCTGTCATGTGACGGCGTACAGCTCCAGTTGGGAACTGGGCCTGGGATGATGAGTTATACATTTCAGGAAATCTTTGGAAAAATGTACTTGTGCTTTTGGACCATACAAGTTAGTCAGAGACTCCATTTAAATGTGTCATTTGAAAATGTAACGTTTTATACATGTAAAACCTAAAATTGTATACATTAAAACTTAGTATAAAATGTTTGGGAAAATACATAAAAATGAATTAAAAGCTAAATGATAACCAATTTATTTCCCACTGTGCCTTATGTCCTTTGATAGCTTTACAATTGCAGTTATAATTTAAAAGTTTGGGCTGTGGTAAACATCGTCAACTTCATCTTCATATTTATTTTTGTCCGTAGACTCCGCCCATAACACCACTAACTACAAAAGCAGATGGAGGAGGAAATTTCTTATTTATGCAATATGCAGACAATTAAGTCCTTCTCATTAGTGATATAATGAGATCGTAATTAGCAGTAGTAATTATTAATTGTATTTAATACATTTCTGTTTGCTTATTTACTTATCAAAGCAATTTCAACTGGCAATTAACAGTCACATAGTTTCTCATAGTTTTGTCTTAAGTCGTTTTATTTGTTTGTTTATTTAAAGATTTATTCTTTCATGTTGCCATTTATTTATTGATATAACAATATATAAATGTATTGATACGTGTACATTTTACAAGTCTACACCTTACACTAAGTCACTGTGTCTGTGGATAAAAGCATCTGCTAAGTGACAAAATGTAAATTTAAATGTGAAGTTGTTGGCACTGCATGGTGAAACGTCCAATATTGTCAATCATATTCCTAATGAACTTTGATGCAAACAAAGCCCTATATCAAATGGTGGTCTTTCAGCGCATTGCATGTAAAATATACTACAATGCAGGTGTTGCTAAGCTAAATCTGTTTCACCTATCAGACGGTGCATTTAGAAGCTGCGGCAGAGTGTCGACTGAGCCCAGAAAGGATGGACTAAAGTGATGCAGTGCTTTATCTATAGGGAGCCACTGTGTCAACCCGCATCTACACTGATCTACTGGGTTGTTCCTGTGCAATGCTTTCATCTTTTCACTGCTCTCCGATTTTCTTTGACTTAATGGCCTTGCAGGAAAAGAGAGAGAGTGTGTTGTGTTCTTTGATGTAAATACCCTGGCCAGTTTTCCTCAAAAGAATTCATGTAATAGAGATGAGACACTTGACACATTTTGTTCACTGTATATATTTGATTCGATAAGCGAGACAGATTTTTCAACACAACAATAACATGGATTTTTCTTTTTACCTTTTTGAAGAGATTATCGGTTTGATTTTGATGCTTGTCATGCTGTGTGGTAATCGTGGATATCTTGCTCAACTATTCCTTTTATATGACAAACATGAACCAGTGCAATAGAAATGTAGACAAAAGTTGACAGACAGCTTTTCAAACACTCGTTGACTCTCCACTCTTGGCAGTTGCCTTCCAATAGAGCTCTTGCGAATACTCCCACATCTGAATTAGTTTTTGCACAGCATACAGATATATCCCAAGTAATATATACAGAGTGCTAAATAATTGCTCAATACAAATTAAACTAAACTGTATTGTTCTGTTTAGGAGTGGGGGGGGGGCAGAATTAATATTTGTGTGACTTCTAACTTAAAAACCAATCCCATTTGATTTGATTATTATAACCACAGCGTATTGACTAATCATTGGTCTAATGAGTTGTGGATCTTTTCAAACAAACTAATCACATTTCTAATCAATTTCTTCTGCAGGAATGGGATGGCAGCGGTAAGTGAGCGCCTGTGAAGATCTAGAAGTGTGCGCTGCAGAAGTTGATTGATCATCAGTGAAGTGGACGCCATCTTAAGAAAAGGTAAGTCTTAGTGAGACTGTTCATGGATTTTCTATATGATACCAGAGCACTTTTATGATGCTAACAAGGCCATTGGACGTCCAGTGGCAGTGGTGGATCCAAAATTAACACCTGCCACATGCCAATGGCTGATAGATAGGACCATTTCGCAGGTAAAAATAAATGCAGGGTTACATATTAAAACTTACTCTGGCAGGTAAGAAGACAAAATTCTGAAAGTTAATTTTCAGAAATTAAGTTAATTTTTTTTAATTTTTAGCAGCGGGTGGTGGGGGTGGTTGTGGGTCCGGCGATGTATTGTGTAGACTAGGAGAATACGCTGGTCTCTTGGTGACCCAGGGATACTATTGGTATGAGAGCAACGCCAGTGAAATGCCATGTCACGATGGTACAACTTCTACAGACAAGGATCTAAATGAAGGTGTTTTCCACACATGTAGTAATGCTATAGAAACATGGTGGTCTAGTGGTGGCGCTCTCACTGCCATTACTAATTCCCAGTCACATAACTTTTCCCCCTGAATTTCCCATCCGGGATTATTTTTGTAAAATTGCACTTGCCTCTTCCCTCAAATTCACAATGTGTCAAATATGTGAAACAAAAAAGTTTCAAAATGATCATGATGAACCCTCTTCTTTTTAATTTAAAAAATATGGTAAGTTCTCAAAGACTGGCATACAAGGTAAGTATCTTACATATCTTCATTATCACTGTATCCATTGTATACATATTATTGACGTTCTCTGCATATCTATATATCTGTATATAAAGACATAGAGCCATAACAAAGGCAGGGCCTGAATCCTGTGCACCGGTGAAGTGCAGTGTTGGTATCTATGTTCACCTCCTCTCCATTGAACAACTTAATTGACTCAAACGCGCATGCACACGTGCACACCACAGAAGTCACGATACCCTACGGCCCCCATTAATTAGCCTGTGAAAACCCAGGAGCTGGGAGCCATCAGCAGGTGCCTGTTTGCCTTGGTGTGGGACTTGCTTTTGGCTGTGGTGCCGTGGCTCATTATAAATCCATAATTAAGTTACAATTTTATTAGCTTTTTTTTTTTCTTTCTTTTTTTTCTTTCTTAAACAGTCGGGGATCACCGTCGTGGCTTGAACTCCAACTCCCGGTTTGTCGAGTGCATGTTTTGGGCTCCATTGCTGTTGAGTTCTCTATTGTAGCGCAGCAGTTAGCATGGAGGGGAGGTGATGCCGGAGTGTGTGTCTTCCTGCTGCGTCCTACAAGTGTTTGTAACAACAAAGACGTGAAAACCCTCAAAACGACCTTGATTTGCTCTTCGCTTGGAAAAAACAAGCTGAACTATCCAACCCATCCTCCTTGTTTTTTTTCAAAAGACAAAAAACTAAAACAAACACACCCCTCTCCCCTCCCGCCTCACTCCTCCCTCCCCTGCCTGCCGGCTTGAAGGACTGGCTCCCCCCCCCCGCCGCCCCCACCGGTCCTTCTCCAACCAGCGTCGGGGGTCCGTTACTGGCGGTAAATGAATGGGAAGAGGCAGTTCTCTCTCTCTTGCTCTCTCTTTCTTTCTTTCTCTCTCTCTTGCTCTCTATCTCTCTTTCTCTCTCTCTCTCTCTCTGGGCGATGTCTGTCACTCTGAAGCTGCTGGCAGCTGAGAGAAGAGGGGGAATGATGGGGGGGGGGGGGGGGGGTAGAAGGGCTTAGCTGGTGGCCTACAAGGATGATGAGAATATACACACACACACACACACACACGCACACACACTGACACGCACAAGCACACTGACACGCACACGCGCACATGCACACACACACACACGCACACACACTGACACGCACAAGCACACTGACACGCACACACACACACACACACACACACACGTACACACATACACACACGGCCACAGTGGTGCAGTGTCTGCCAAGGAGCTCAGGCTCAGCGCGTGGCCCTGGGAGGGTTAAACTCCAGGCAGGAAGCGAAGGTTAACGACCTTGTTAGTTAGAAAGCTGAGCTGCAGTAAGTCCACACCCTGAGAGGTGAGGCCATCCCCACCTGCCTCCACCTTTATTCAGGACGGTGAAAGAGTAAGTTTGACTGTAAAAAGGTTTCCATTGAGATAAGTCACGTGTAGTTGATTGCTAAATAATTACACTAAGGTGTGTTGTTCGTGGCAGAAAAAGCTGTCGCCACAAGGATGTTATAAAACATGGTTAAAATTAAATATGCAATGAGTTTTCACTTGCTGCGGTAAAATAGAAAATATTGTGCCTGACAGTTTTTTAATATCTCGCCTCCATCGAATTCTGCGTAATTACGTCTTTAAAAAAAAAACTGTCCAGATTTGTTAACTGTTGCCATGGCGCTTCACAAAGGTGGCAAACAAACAGATGCTTGTTTGCCTCTGTTCTGCTGCACAGGAACGGTCCCAGCACTGAGCTTTGGGGAACACCTCAACACACACACACACACACAGGATTATTCTTCCAACGTTTCCGCAATTATTCATATCTCTTCACTTCACAAACCACACAGCTCAGGTGAAACTTACTAGTCAACAGTCTTGAGAGGCAGGTTTTCCAACAGTGAATCACCACCACTTTACCT